ACGTCGCGGGAGAGACATGGCTGCAACAATGTGGCGGACAGGGATGGATATAACAATAATGACTACGGCACGGGGGAAATCACGGCGATGAGGGAGGAAGAGGGCAACGCAGCAGAACAAAGGGAAGAAATGGCTGGGGATCTCACGGGGCAGCCGGAGGGGCAAGCGTCTGGTGGTCAAATCTCAGAGGAGACGTCGGCGGAGGACGTGCTGCAGTACTGCCGCGAGATGATTCTTCGCCGTCACATCACTCCACCTCCGCAGTGGCGACGCATGCGCGTTGATCTGCCAGCTTCCATCGCCGAGTTGCGTCTTACGCCCTCCGCACCGGAGCAGATTCAAATCACACCGCCCATCACCCCGTCGCCCTGCGTTGTCTTGCAGCTCGACAACAGCGTGCCGGAGGGGATGACAACTAAGGAGTACGCCAGGAGCCTCGTAAAATACGTCATGGACCTTCTCGCCTACCAGCGGGCCTCGACCGCCATCACATCACTGCGGTTCGTTAAGATTGGTACAGAATTATCGCAGCTTGTTTTGACATTTGGTCGCGATGTACAGCTGGCATCGTTGGTGCTCGGAGAATTTGCGAAGGTCGGTCTCCGCGCCGGTTTTGGTGCTCCAGTCAAAGAACACGTCCCAAATGCGACATTCCGTGTGACGGATTATTACATGACGCTACATGATGGCACAGGTATCAATACAGAAGATATTACCACACTGTTGGGGTCAAAACGGTCGCCGCAGGACATCGTTGTATTGGCGGGATATGAGCCCGGCGTATTTTACGCGGCGATGCGGCGTCCAGAGGCGGTGTACGCTTGGTTATGGAACCCCTTCTGCTCCTTTGTGGTGCAGCGGACACTCTTTGAACAATGCGGGGTGCTTGTGACGATGGCAGACTGCCCGCATGAGTTTGCTGGTCGTAGTAGGGCCACGTTTGCTTCGCAGCAGCAGCAAACGGGGAGAGGCCGACGCGAATTGGAGGGCGATGATCACAACAACAATGACGACGACATGGCTGACAGTGGCGTCGAGGAAGACGACGACGAGAACGACGATGACGATGTCAATGACAACTTCAAAAAGAACGGTGAGAATGACGATGACGCGTTTGTTGACGGTTTTGGAAGGGGAGGACGAGCAGCAAAGAATGACGCACCGGCGTGGAGCCGCAATGCAAAGGAGGAGATTGATATCTTTGAGGGAGTTGAGAAGCAAACAACTCGACAAGCAGCATTTCCGGGCTTTGTTGATGACGACATCACAGAACTTCTTCATCAATTGAATGCAGAAAAGCATCAACAACAACAACAACAATCACAAAAACAAAAACAAGAAGAGGAAGTAGAAGGGCTACAACAGCAACCTGCGATGTACGCAGGCACGGCCCCGCCGGTTGTGTCGTATGATCATTCGGTTGATGGAATGATGGCGTCTATGCCTTATACCCAAGCACCTGCTATGCAGCAACAAATTCAATCGCAGTATGCGTACTACGGCGGTGGTCCACTTTTGCCTCCATGGCAAAAACAACATCAGCAGCAACCGCAATTGTTAGGGAAGACGGTGCCATCAATGTATGGTACGACGCCACCGTCCAATGACATTCACGTGCCGCCACGCGAGCAGAATGTAAATTATCCTAAACTTGTGGATGAAGATAACATCAATAATACTTTTTCCGATACTGGGAACGAAGAAGATATGGAGTCAACGTCAAGGATGGCACAGGCACAACAACAACAACAACAAGGGCAGCAGCAACAGCAACAGCAACCAAGACCAATGTATTGGATTCCAGGGGGAGGAAGCATTCCTGTTGTTGGTAATGGTGGTATTCTGTACCCTGTGTCATCACCCTCTCCATATCTTACGCATCCCTTCTTCCCATCAATACAGTTGCCATTGCAACCGAACCCAATTCATGACAAGATGAATGCTATGCCTTCTATTCTTGGGCAGCCTGTGTACAGCACCCCCTACAATAGTGTTGGTGTTAGAGTTGGAATTCAAAACAACACAAATCAACATTCCAATGTAGGTATTCTTGCCCGTCCTCCTGCAACAAATGCACCGCTACCAATACCACGTGTTATGACGGTCGAGAGGGCGCAAGAGTTGGCTAGCAGAGTTGTGGAGCTAGCGCGAATCGTATTTACGACATCATCATCATCATCGTCACCAGCAGCAGCAGCAGTAGTAGGAGGAGGAGGAGGAGGAGAGGAAACAGCAGTAACATTGCCATCAACGGATAAAATGACGGAATTAGACGCAACCGTATCGATAACTTCACCGGAAAACGAGATGAGTTCCACTTCCGAGGCATTGTTTCCACAGGTGCCATGTACCGCCACTGTGCCCCGCATGAGTGCCGAAATGGAGGATCTCATGTCATGTATTCGGGAGGAGTATGTGCAACTCAAGGAGGTGATTGAGAACTCATCACCTGAAATGCAGGAAAGCCATCGCCGCATTGTATCCGCCCTTCTCACTCATCGATCACATCTGCTGGAAATCAGTGAGGCGACGGATTGGAACCCTCAAGAGGAGAGTAACATGGATGAGGAAAGGACAAGGAGTCTGCAGCTGCCAGCTCTTCTTCCGTATTTGTTGGCAACTACGGAAGGAACAGAACTCGTGTCCGCTATAGCGTCAAATGACACGGAGCAACTTCTACCACTCCTGACACGATATGTGCTACCGTTTTTATTGGATGTCACGGTCGTGCGGTCTGTCGTCACAGTGGCGTTACGTGCGGAGCCTACAGCAGAGAATCCGCTTGTGAAACGTATTTTACGTCACTGGGAGGCATTGGCCAACTGGTTGCATGAATACATTAATTGCCAGGCAGCTGCTGCGGAGGTGCGTGCAGAAGGAGAAATTGAACATGCTTCAGTAACCCTGCCGCCATCGAAATCCACAACAAAGTCAAACGTAGTACGACGACTCACATCGCATGTAGGGAATACAATGGACATGCTTTTAGCGGCCATGTCGGCTGAGCAGCGCACTTCCACCAAGGCGTATCTTGACACGACAAAAGCACTTGATACATTTGTAAAGTCCTTGCAAACGGTGGAGCAACGGGAGTCCGTGCAGGATATAGAAGTAGAAGGGGAAAAACAAAGAACCGCCGTTGTCTCTCACAAGTTTATGACCACACTCTGGAGTGCTGAAGGTGCTATTCACCGTTCTTTAATGCGCCTTTACCTCAATGCTAACCTTTTGGACGGTACGAAGTTGGTAGATCTTTTATTTGCCCCACAATCTTCCTTGACACGGGATCAATATTACTTTGTCCTTGTGGCCTTTTCCAAGAGCCTTGTTAGTCAGGTGCTGAGCGAGGAGACGGCGCGTGCATGTGGTGCATTCTTACGTTTAATGGAACAGAAGTTTCTTAACGTGGAACCCTCTACCACGGAGGACAACGTCAGTGGTGGTGGTGGTGGTGGCAAAAACAACAGCAGCAGTAGCAGCAGCACACATGTATTGACAGAGAAGGACGCCGTACACCTTGTCGATACTGCGCTGCGGGCCATTGCTTCGGCAGAAGTGTATTCTTATCTGCGTGATGCGTACTTTACAGAGCCCCCGCCGATGAGACGATACGAAAAGGTGGAGACGAGGCTAGCGCGACCAACGCTGCCGGTCAGTTCATTCTCAGCGCCTCCTGGACCACAGCAACATTCTTACCAACAACAACAACAACAACAACAACAACAACAGGGGGCGGATGGACAAAATGTCTCCTCAACGAGCGGTTGGCAAGCGGAGTGGACGGCCGCAATGCGTAACTACCCGCAGCTTGGTGACCCGTTTACACCGCTGCCGACAGGATGGACAAGTGCACTGAGTCGTTCTTATGGGCATTATTACTTCAAGAATGCAAAGGGTACCGCGACATACAAGCATCCGACAGATGCGGCCGAATTCATGGCAACTCCTCAGGCTTTTCTGCAGGAACACGGTGTAACCATTACCCTTGCTGATGTTCTTGCGTACGCAAATAGTAAAGGCAGTAGTAAGAATGATAATGCTAATAACTCTAAGAAAACTGATGAGGAGGAGGAGGAGGGAGAGGGAGAGGTGGGAGTTGCGGCGCCATCAGGAGAAACGGCAACAAAAACCCACGTTTTTGATAATGCTGTAAACATCACAGAGGAACAGGCGGAAAATTGGTTTGCGGATCAGCGAATGCGCGTGGAGGCGCTTGACATGGCAACTCTGGCACTCTTAAAGGTTAAGTACCGTGTCGGTGGAGGTGCGGGAAGAAGCGGTGGGCACAGCCGGGGCAGGTCTAGTCGGCATCGACGTGACAGTAGCGAGAGTCATCGTCACCACAGTCATTATCATAACCATCATCATCAAACCCGTAAACGTGCACGCGGGAGTCCATTGAATACGCTTGAATTGCAACGCAAGCTTGTCAAAATGAGCAGTTACCCACCACGCGGCCACCCGTTTCTTCCGCTTCCGCGTGGATGGACATGTAACCTCAGCTCTTCCAATGGGCTTTACTACTTTCGGCCGCCGCGGGGAAACCCTGTTTATCAGCATCCGGTTACCCGACGCGAGTACCGCGCCTCGCCGCAAGCATTTGTCTTGCACCATGGCATTTACGCCAATGCGATCGCGGTTGAGGCACAAAAATCCGTAGAGGAGGTTGAGGGATGGTTGGCGGATCAACGACAGCGCGACGAAGTGTTGGATGCGGCGGTAGTTCTCATGGTTCCGATTGAATATGCCTTGTGCCCGGATTACGATGAAGATGACGCCCAGGCTGAGAGTGATCATCATCATCACAAACATCAGAAGCAGCAGCAGGAAGGGGAGCGACAGGAGTATGATGAAGAGGAAAAGCAACAGCAGCAGCAGCAGGAAGACGAGCACGATGGAAGTAACAGTCATCGTAGTGCCACCTCTCACAACCCCACGATCAATTAGCGCTAAAATTTGCTTTTCTGTCATTTATGCATGTGCGTAGGGCATTCAAGAGGATGTTGTCGTTGTTGTTCTTGTTCTTGTCTGTTCTCCCGCCTTTATAGAGAATGAAGGAAGAACGGCAAACAAACACACATATATAAATAGATTTTAAGAAACGAAAAGAGAGTGTGTGTTTCAGCGTCTGTGGCTTTTTGTGTGCTGCAATAAAAGAGGAGCAAAGAAATACAAATATATTTATATATTTATATTAAAGGAGTAAATTTATGTTTACCTTTTTCGGCATCTTTTTTTTTTGTTTTTTTTTTTTTTTCCCGCAGCAATCATTTGTTTTTGTTGCTGTTTGTAGTTCTTAATGTTCCCATTATTTACCCCCCTTTCGTTGTTGTTGTTGTTTTTTCTTTGCTTTTCGTGGGACTTCTATTCTTCTCCATCCCCATCATGTCTTTTCCCAGCGTCTTCCACATAACTCTTGTTCAACAGTAGAGGAAGCATCGACCGTGAGGGGGTGGGTAATTGAACGGTGTGTCTTTATCCGTCTTTATTTGCTTGTGCGTGTGTGTGTGTGTGTGTGTGTGTGTGTGTGTGTGTGTGCTTGTGAGGCTCATAACCCTCGTTTGTGGAGGGGGAGGGGGAAACAAACGGTGGAGGAGTTAAATAATATATATATATATATATATATTAGGCCGCCTGAGGTCGAGGGACACGTTTGTATTTGAGAAATGCCATCTGCAACCGAATCACTTCGCTGGGTCAAGTACGACGATGTCTACTACGCCTCGCTGATTGTGCCGGACCACGACGCACCGATGCCCGTGGAAAGTGGACATGTGTTTGTGTACTTTCTTGGCACTGAAAGCGGTGCCGTTGTGCCGATTGGCGACACGTCTCCGTACGACCCGCATGACACGTCACGGACAAGTCATCCTGCTGCCGCGGCGGGTGTTCTTGTGGCACAACAAATCATTGCGGGGGCAGAAGCAGCAGCTCAAGAAGAACTATCAAAAGGAGGTGGAGAGGAGACAGGGGGTGGCAGGAGGAAGGCGAAGGAGAGAGAGATTCCAAAGAAGAAGGAAAAGAGTGGTAAAACGAAGCATCATCGCAAAGAAGATTTAAATGCCTTGAGGAGAAGGGCAGCAGAGGAAGAAGAAGAAGAAATGGAAGCGGAAGTGGAAGAGGCAGAAGAAGACAGGGTGTTGGAGAAAACGTTATCCATGCTTAATAAAAGGAGTAGAAGGAATCAAAAGGAGAGGGATCAGGAGGAGGAAGAGAATGCCTTGTTGCGGATTGATGCTTATAGGGGTAGTAAGAAGTCTCATGTTACTGTTGAAGATGAGGAGCAAGATCAAGAACAAGAAGAAGAAGATAGCAAGAGAAGTAACAAAGAAGTGAGCAACGAGGAAGTTGAGCAGAGAAATCGTTGGGATGATATGGCGGAAGATCTTAATCTCACCATGCAATCCAGTGTTGGTGGTGGCAGAGGCACTCATACCAGGAGTACTAGCAAACGACATGCAGATGCTTACCCGGTTTCTTTGGATAGCGGTTCCATTGTGGTGCCTTTCCTTGCGGAGATACGTCATTATTACCGCGCGGTACTTCAAGAGGCAGTGGAGAGTGATCGTATTGTGAATCTACAGGAAGCAGAACTTGTTCGTATGATAGAAAGTGCGTTGCTTCAACGGCGTGGCGAATTGATTTACGTCCAGCAGATGTTACAGGACGTAGAGGCGGAGTATCATACGGTGGCTGGTGGGGACCCAAGCTATGCCTCGGACAGGGACACCGCACTGCTCGAGGAAGCGGAGGCCCTTCGCAGCCAATTGGCTCAACTCAAGTCTTCTTTTGATATTGAAGACATGATTAAGAAACATCTCCATCTTCGGGATAAACTGCCAGAGCGGCGAGAACGCAAACGCCCTGGCGTTGCTGCTGCTGGCAACTCTACCTTCGCCGACGCATCCCTTGCATTTGTTTTAGATGTGCAGGCCTCCACCGCCATGCCGCGTGAGCTGACGCAACAGTTGGCACATCGTTACCGTGAGCAGCGTGTGCGCCGTGAGCGGCTCCTTGCCTCGCAGCATGGAATTGGAAAGATTGGATTTTCCGCGCCAGTGACTCGTGTAATGGAGAAGTGGCGGCAGTCGCGTGAGTTGATGGTGCTTGACCCGCGTCGGGAGAGTCAACCCGTTTCTCGCCGCTACTCTGAGAGCCTCGCAAAGGTGGAGCGACATGCCATAAAGTGTCTTTCAGCCGCAAAAGGATCGTCAAATCAGCTGTTCTCTCTGTACCTGTTGCAACAAGGACAAAGACAACCACAACGCGCCTCGAGGAACCTTTACAACTTTCATGAGTTTCACGAAGATGAGGAGGAAGAGGCGAGGCAGCGTCAGACGACAGCCATGTATCAAGTAAGCAGCAGTCATCCGTACACACCATTTGCTGGTATGCAGAATGACACGGATGATATTGCGCATGATACGTTCCAGGCCCCACTTATTTCACCGTTACGAACGAGTTTTGATCCACGTGCGACCTTCGCAGTGGATTTGGGAGAGATCCGGCAGGGGAACACGCTTGCAGAGCAGCTAGCGATGCAGAGCATGCAGTATAGCCACAGCATTTGTCTCCCATCTCAGGAATCGGTGTGGGAAAACAGTGAGGTTTACGAAGGTGCGCAGCGAAGACGCACCGGGCGACCGATGAGCCGTGCTGGATCCATGTCTCGGGCGTCATCACGGGCCTCTTCCGTTGCACGCGAGCATACTGACGCCACTTTCAAAAAGAATAGCACCCACCGTAATAATAATAATAATAGTAACAATAATAATGTGAAAAACAGAAATGAGCGACACTCACGGAATGATTGGCGGGCCTCAGCCAAGCGTGCAATTCTTGAGCAGCTCACATTGTACTTGCGAGGAATCCGTGGAAAGCCCACCGTGCTCAACAAGGATCAATTTCAGTTTGTCGCGAAGAAGCTCCTAGAAAGAGCAGTAAGAATTGAGTCCGAACGTACTGGCATTTCCATGTCGCTTCAAGCAAATAACGCGAATGCTCCTTTTACGAAGGACATTGAGGCCCGCTTGCGCAAGTCAGTGGATAATTACGTCGTGCGCCACTTTGTCACCACCCGCACTCCTGAGCCACAAAAGAGGAACCGGGGTGCTGATATAGGAACGGCATCCATGGATCAGTGGGTGACATCTACTCGTGATATGACAAGGAAACAAGAGGATGGCGATGAGACGCGATCTCTCATGGGCGCATATCCGCATTCCCACAACTCACCGGTATACGATGAATGGTGATTGTGCCGGGTATATGTATACCGCTTCTTTTTGTTGTTGTTATTGTTGTTGTTTTGGTAATGAAACGCCCAAATGCCCAATCACATCGCACATTTATGTCTGTTCTCCCAGGGAGAACTTTGCGGATTGAAGCAGCTGCTATCAATGAATTAGATGCACGGTAAAAAGGCAAGGATGGGAAAAGGAAAAAAAAAAGTGCGTGTAATTAATGCAAGCAGAAAATAGAAACACGCAGCGTACTAAGATGAAGGGAAATGGGGGGGGGGAGGGAGGAGGAGGAATGTTTGCGATATGTTTTGAATTATAACCTTCTCCTTACATCCCTCATCTTTTTTTTTCATTATTATTATTATTATTATTATTATGTTTTACGCTTTATTATGACGTTATTGGACTTTATTGTCAACAGTATTATAATTGCTCATATTATTTCCTTACCACTGCAGCTGATGGGAGCATTGAAGTGCGGGAAGTGGCGTCTTCTATCGTTGTTGTTGCTGTTGTTGTTGTTGTTTTATCTGTTTTGTCTCTCTCTCTCTCTCTCTCTCTCTGTGTGTGTGTGTGTTGTTTCCATGCGTCATGATGTGTTAGGAGTCGGGTGGATGATTTCCTGCGCAGCCATTCAAAAACTAGAGCGTTACGGCCAACTTGGCCAGAAGCGCCGAAGCGTCGACGACTTTGTGCAGTCATCGCTCAAGGATCCCAAGCGTGGCAATGTGTACGCCCTGACGCACATGCCGACGTGGAGAAGCTGCTTGGCAGCCCTGACACCGGACGACATGCTGAAGATGCAGCCTGCTGTTGTCGATAACGACGATGAAGATGATGATGATGAAGGGCAATTGCACAACGTGGGCGGTGGTAAAGAGGCGACAGTGGCAGCACCGGCCCCTGTGATTGTAATCAGTGACTCCCTGCTGTACGCCATAAGTTTTGCCACGGCGCTTGTGGCACATCACTTGGACGAGCAGCGATACGTGGAAAGAAAGGAGAAGGAGGAGGAAAAAAAGGCACAGAAGAATAAAATTAGGAGGGGAGACAATCCCGCGGTGTTGGTTGGAAAAGTCTTTCTCTCTCGGCTGGAAGAAGCGGAGGAGCTGCTTGCGGTGCTTCAGGCTGTCGCGGAGGCGTGTGGCCGTCACGCCCATCATCGCAACGAGGGCTCGCCAGTTGTCACGCAGGCGTTGGCGCATCTTCTTTCGACAGCCGCTGACACCGTCTTGATCGCCACCATCCTGCGGCAGACGGACATAAATAACGAAGAGGCTGAAGAGAGACGAAGGATTGGACTCTGTCGCCATGCCACCGCATTGGTGGCGGTAGCTGCGACGCAACTTCGCACGGCTCGGGCGCGAAATCCCTTAAATACGCTTCATGACGTCCGCCCATGTCCAACACTTCTTCAGCAGTTTCTCGCAAAGTCAAAAGGCATTTCCTCAACGGCGACGAGGACGATGAAAAGCAAAGACACTGGTATTGTCGGTGTGCAAAGTGAAATAGAGAAAGAAGACATGGACGCCATTGTTATTTTAACTTTAGTTGCGTGGGCCGCTGTAGCGCCGCATGGGGGTTTAATTGCCCGGCTTGCGCCCTTTACGCTCTTTCAGAAACTTAGTCTGGTGGATGCCATAGTAGCGGAATCACCGGCGTCGTGCTGTTGCGTCGAGGTGTCACGCTACCGACGCACGTTGGCCTCTTTGGTTTCCAGCACGGCGTGTAATCGAGCAACACGTTTGGTCGTGTATTTTCGCGGGGACGATATAAAACTTATGCAAAACAACGTACGCGACAATGCGGAGTATGCACTTCACACGCATGTGACGACACCACCCGCAGAAGAGGCGACACTCCGCTCTGTGGCGCAACTGCCGGAAGGACAACAGCAACACGCGGCTTTTCTTCTTGTCCAGTGGATGGCGAGCATTCCTTTCTTTTACCACAGTTTCTGCGCAGAACAAAGCTGGACCGCCTTTGCCCAAGAGCAGCGGCGCATGGTGTTATTGAAGGAAAGTCAGGCACGACGAGAACGAAGGAACCAACGGCGTTATAACAAGAACTTTGGTAATAACCCTTCTTTTTCCCCCGTGTCTGCCTCCAGCCGCGGTAGCAGCATCACGACCAATGATGATAATACGTCTAATACTAATACTAATAATAATAATAATAGCAATCATGATGGTATCGTTCAAAAGAACATTAGTCGTAGTGATGGGAACGAGGGTACTGTTGAAAAAGAATATGATGTTGATGATGAGGACGAACGAAAGTCTCTAATCTCGAATCAAAGTGCACTTTCGCTGGCGAGCCGGGCAAGTATGATTTCAACCATGTCCAGATCATCCATGACGTCATACCGTGCGTTTCTTTCCGTCATTGAAGCAGCCCGCAGCGATGGCAATCACATGGAGAACGCATTGCATGTTCACCAGTCCGAGGACGGTAACACGAACCTGCCACTTATCCTTCTGGAGGAAGTCACACTTGCGCTACAAAGATTTATGGGTACTGCCAGTGATTCTAGCGTTGCCGCCATGTTTGATCGCTTTTCTCTTCAGATATTGGCGTGGCGCACGATTGGCGAGTTGTACACGTTCATTCAGAGCACCATAACTACTGCGGCGCCTTCATCATCCTTAGCATTTTCTAATAACATGACGGCAAGTATCCGTCCTATGACGGTTGCAATGGATGAGATACCTGCTGTGTTTCACTTTGGTCAAGACATTCGCTACAACAGAGGCCTTGGCTACGAAGTACTTGGGCTACTTTTTGCCAAGGTTGTATTGCCACAACTGCTCACCACATGCGGTGGGCCTCCAGTAGCACAACGACGCATGGAGCCGGCCATTACGTATTGCCTCTCCGCTTACGAGATTATTGCACCGCAAGTTATTGATCAGAATGTATCAGCGATTCTGCGCATTGCGGCTCGTGTGGCGATGGATGTGTCATCACAGGAGAATAAAAGTGAAATCCGCACTGCTTCCACTACTCTTGCCCCAATGAGCACAACAAATACGACCACCATTCTCCATGAATTCCTCATCAGTCTTGTGACTCGGCTGGGGAAGAGCAACCAGATTCCAATGCTGTTGGATGCCATTGTTTCTCATGTTAAAAAGGAGGGAAACACGATTCAATCTGCGGACATGCACGGAGATGATGCCATGGTGGCAGGGTTGCATGAAATATTTTCCCACCCACGTGTGAGGGCAGCTCTTGTACAGGCGTGTGGTATTTCACTTGATCCAGAGGAGTTGCTCATACATCTTCTACAATACGTCTCGCGCTGGGCTTCGGAGGAGAATGAGGATGAAGAGGCTGCCGATGCGGAAGCGAACTCGGGAAAAGAGCCATCAAAGGTCAATACAACATCAACCACATTGTCACACTTGTTACCGCAGGAAGTTCTCTTCATTCTGGATATTGTGGCAACTGTGGCGGAGGGTATTATTGCCACCTCTGTCACCGCTGTTACCCTTTTGGAGCGCGCCGCGGAATTGGAACTTACCCTCTCCACGTTTCTGGTAAACCGCCTCCACAGGACATTTTTTTCTGATAAAATGGAAGAGGAAAAAGAGTATGGTAGGTCGCGGAATGAAAACAAGGGAAATGCAGTATTGAAAGTCTCATCTCCTTTTGCGGGTGGGGAGGAAATTGTGCGTCCCAAGATGCAGCGCCGTCTTGTGTTGTACACACTTCATGCCATTTATCAAGCGCGTGAATTAATTTTTGGTTGTCTTCAGGACCTTGGCATTCAGAACGTGGAGGCCTATCTACAGATGATGGAAGAGACCATGTGGCAAGTGCAAAAAAATATCGGGGCCCTTGTTGGCCCCCTCTCTATTGACGATCTCGATGCGGCAATGAGTCTCTCTACACAGATGCGTCATGCGCCGTATGTACATCGCGCCACTTTATTGCCGCAGTTTGTACTGCAGCGCCTCACTCTTGCGCGGTCTGTTTCAGTGGCTTTAAACGTTGCAGTGAAGCCCTTAACAGAGGCTAGACGACTAACGACCTTTGTGTTATGTCACATGCGCCTTGCCAGCGAGGGTGGCTACTTGCCTGAGGGAGAAACGACGCGCGCCTTGGAACTTGCTGATCGAATTACGGAAGAGGAATGGAAATGTATTGTGGAGTTTGGTCGCCCCAAACGCGTTTGTCACGCGCTTGTATGGCTTTTGCGGACCACGTTTGCTGTTTCTCCCACCGCATGGCGTTCTGTCTCTTGGCTTACACGTTGTCTCAACACTTGTGCCGGATTTCTCCTGGAAGCACTGTGTGAGGTCATCATGGGTGTGAATGACGACGAGGTCCGTGCCTGTTTCTATCGACATGTCAAGAGGGACAGCAACGTAGAGGATGATGATGGAAAGGGAGAAGAAATGTTGTTGCAGCTCTGTCTTGCCTTGGAAGATGTCTTGCGCCGCCTCGGTCATATTCCCCAATGGCCTTCACTTCTGCAACGCGCCGTCCATTGGTTGCTGCTTATTCAAAGGGAAAGAGAGGTGCTTCAGGATGCTAAAGAGGAAGAGGAAAAAATGAATAAAAAGAAAAAGAAACGAATGAGAACATTTCTACTGGAGAGTCGAGTCCTACAGTTGGTTGCGGATTTTCTGTTGTGTGAGGAAGGTGTTCCGTCGCTTTTTCGTCGTATCCTCTTGCGACCTGAAGAATCCCATTCATTGCAGCGTGCTGGGCGTAAGAATGGCAGAGAGAAGTACACCGTAATAAATGAGGCCTTTGTGCGGGCAATTAGGGTGCCATTTGTCCCATCCGCCGCCATCCTACATACGGATGTTGGCGCCCCGGACAACAGGAACGTCCGGGTGGATAATGATAGTGACATTGAGGATGAAGAAACTGAAGGTGAAACGATGGCGAAGCGAACCGCTTCTGTGTGCAACATACTTGTTCGTCAAATATTTTCCAGAGAGCTTGCCATCTTGCTGGTCCATTACAGCGAAAGAGGTGAGATGGCGCACTGTGGAGCGACG